ATCTTCGACTGCTCTGCATAATGGTATGTCAATGCAGGACATTTGCACTGCGGCTGCATGGTCAACACCCTGCTCATTTATTCGCTTTTACCTACGTGATGTAACGGCTCGTTCCATGACACATTCTGTCCTTAGTGCTCATGGAACTCTGTTTAAGCTCACTTCTGTCTGCATGCATTACAGTGTGAGATGTTGTTTTCAGTCACAGTCGTGTCTGTGATTTTGGTTCTATTGTCACTAATCAGTTCATGATTATTGTTAACAATCAGTTCATTTGATTATTGATCAATTCATGGACATTAATCTGTTTATACTGTTCAGCCATGAACCAGTTGGTTCATGCCCCCCTCCCCCCCCTCTTTTAACTTCCTCTTCCCGTTGAAAGTTTTTCCGGGGTATTCATGTTTGTCAGAACGCATAGTTACACAACTTGCGTCTGTGCATGGCACATAATTACGCGATGCGTAGTTTATGCACACGGGGAGCTGAGTGACAAGACGCTTTTTGGGCAAGCTTCCGCTTCTTACTGTGTTCGAATGGACCCAGTGAGGCGAGGACCACATCCGCTTCGCCCTTAAACCATCAGCGACAGCCTTAAAGGGCGAAGCCTATATGACATAGAACGTTGGTTACGTACTGTAACCCCAGATTCTATGAATATAGGCGTAGCCCTTTAAGCGTCGGGCCTCACTGGCTCCTAAATGGCTGAAGAAAAAAGCTATTTTGGGAGCCGATTTCCCGCTCTTAACGTAATTTATACGGACCGGGTGGGGCCCACACAGCAGGTGGGCGTGGACTAATTTTTTTTCAGTGCTTATGCTGCGCATAACGGGATAAACCATCAGCGACAGCCTTAAAGGGCTACGCCTATATTCATAGAATCTGGGGTTACAGTACGTAACCAACGTTCCTGTCCCATGAAGGTCTTCAGAGGCAGGTCTTGACCGGAGGCTTAGTTCACTACAATATACTCACATTACATATATTTACCGTATATTTAAATATTTAAATATGCATGTATATAATACATACACATACTCACATTACATACATGGTTACACAATGCATATATACATCTACATAGCATCTCCATAAGCTTTTGTAATTTTACATTTTAAGGCTCTTTGAAAGCTCATCAAAAAAACATATAATTTGAAATCATCATTCAATTCATTCCAAAGTTTCACACCGATAACTGAAATACATCTAGATTTTACTTTACTTTTCTCTTTAGGTTGTTCAAATATTAACAAACCTCGTAAATTATATTTACTCTCTCTTAACTTAAATAATTTCTGAATTCCACAAGGAAGACATTTATTCAGTGCTTCATGCATTATTTCCAGCATTTTTATATAAACAATGTCATTAAATTTTAAAGTATTACTTTGAATAAATAGTTTATTAGTTGGTTCACAATATCCCACTTTATTAATAACTCTAATTGCTTTTTTTGTAACTTTATTAATATGTCAATAGTAGTTTTATTTACATTTCCCCATATTTCTGAGCAATATGACAAGTAGGGCATAATCAAGGAAGAGTATATAATATGCAAGCCTTTAACACTTATTAAATCTTTTATTTTAAACAATGTAGTGAATTAGGCCTCCGACAACAATCTGTCTCTGAAGACCTTCAGGGGACAGGAACTGCTATTTCATTGATTTGAATCCAGAAATACAAATTATCTCATCAAGAGACCATTTAATTGTATCCTGAATTAATCAATTGAAAGAACACTCTTCTTTTTACATTATCATTACTATTTTACAATATCTTGATAATCAAAAAGTGTGTTTAGTTCATACCATTTCTAAATGTTGAAGTGAACCACTCATTTAAATCAACTGTGAAACAGTATTAATGATTTTTAAACCTCATTAGACTTTGATAATACAGTTAAATGCCTATTTACGAAATAAGTGTGCATTTAGTCTTCTGTCTGAATGAGGAGTAGTGATGTCGATCGAAAGTCAGAGACAAACAGAGACGAGTTATTAGAACAAAGAGTCTTGTTTTTAAAACTAGCAGACAGTAAATAACTTCAACTGGCACCTGCATTTGTCTCACCTCGTCATAACATTTCTACGTCTGTACTAACCGTTTTTTAAACATTCCTGCTGTCTCTTGACTTCTAGTGACCCTCTTGACATCACTAGAACCACACCCCTGATGGTTGTTTCAACCAATCAGGAAGTACCACGTAATAGGAAGTGTATACCCCTTTAAAAGGAACTCTTCGTGGAACTATTCAGTTTGGTCCTGGAACTCAGTTCAGTCCTGAAGTGCAGTCCTGGAGTTCAGTGCTGGAACTCAGTCGGAGTCCTAAGTCTTAGTCTCTTCTAAGTCTTGCTGGAACTTTCGGTCAGAGATGAGACTCACTTAAGCAGCGGATGGATGGGACCATGTGCCAAGGGGTCCCTCCATTTAGTGGAGTCACAGCTCGCATCGCTGTGCACTCAACCCGAGCAGTAAATGCTCCACTTCTAAGGAAGCTTATTCGGTGGAACCGAGTACTTCGGCATTTATTCTAAAGATTCCCAGCTACTTTAACCGGAGACGCTGTAAAGGGAGCGTACTAATGGACTTCTGTTCCGGAGTGGAGGTATCCCCCATCTAAGGTAACAAAGTCGCTGCACGTCCTGAAATGTACCGGGAAGCTGAGCTGGATGTCGGAGGAAGGGTGCAATGCTCTGGTTCCACACATAGCTTTCACCCCTCTTTATATCTTTAAACTTCTATTTCTCCTCTTTAACTTTTCTATTCGCCAGTAATCAAGCTCGATGCCTTCAGAGGTGAATCGGCCTCGATCACTAATGTTCTGTTGTCTTGTTAGTAAAGCTTGCCAAGTTTATCTAAGCGAAACAGATAAGCAAATCAATGTGTACATGTTTTGATGTTAAATTTTGATTCTGTTAAATAAATGTCCGCATTTATTCTGATGGGTCAAAGACAAAATGGCGTCTCATGTCACTGATTAAACTCCACTCACAGTTATCTCGGTCACATAGCAGAAATTTAACTCGAAAAAGAAAATAATCCGTTGTAATTAAACAATTAATATTCTTTGTGCTTGAACTAGCCTTAAGAATAATTAATTAGTAGTGTGTCCACAGCAAAGCTGTCCTGACATACTACAACAATATTCCAATAGTTTTTGCAATTTTATTTTTAATATATTTAATATGAGGCTTCCAACTAAGTTTGATATCCAGAATGATACCTAAAAATTTTGTCTCATAAACTCTGTCGATTTCAATTCCATTTATATGTAACTTTACATTATTATAAATCCGATTACCTGAAAATACCATAAATTTAGTTTTTTTTTCATTTAAACATAGCTTATTATAATCAAACCACTTACTCAGCTAGCTCTTTTTCTACTATTTGTATTAGTTCATCCATATTCTTTCCAGAAAAGAAAAAGTTTGTATCATCAGCAAACATTATAAATTTCAAAAATACTGGATACTTTAAAAATATAATTTAAATAAATTATTAATAATTTAGGTCCTAGAACTGAGCCTTGAGGAAGACCACATTTTATAGTTTCAATTTATGACTTTGTGTTGTTAATTTGTACATATTGTAACCTGTTACTCAAATAACTCTTTAACCACTGATGTGTAACCCCCCGTAAGCCATATTGTTTACATTTTCCCAGGAGTCGTTCATGGTCAATAGAGTCAAATGCCTTACATAAATCAATGAACACCCACTGTGTTAAGTTTCTGATCAACTGCTGCAGCAACATGTTCCACAAACTCCATCACAGCTAAAGTTGTGGAGTAGTTGTTTCTAAAACCGTACTGGTGCTCATTTAATATATTGCTTTTATTAAGAAAGGAGTCCAGCCTTTCTATGAATATTTTTTCCAGAACTTTAGAAAATTGTGGTAGCAATGATATAGGTCTATAATTTGTTAAAATTTGTTTATCACCACTTTTGTGGACTGGAAACACCTTGGCTATTTTCATTTTGTCAGGAAAAATTTCAGTTAAGAATGATCTATTACAAATATAGATGAGAGGTTTAATAATACTATAAATGACTTCTTTCACAATAGCCATATCAACATTATTACAGTCTTTGGATTTCTTATTTTTTAATTTTTTAACTACTTCTATAACTTCACTTTCACTCACTCCTCCAAGAAACATTGTATTAATATTATTAAATGTATAACTGAGTTTTTCATCTTTAATCTTTGGCAACTCATTTACTAAATTAGGACCAACATTAACAAAGAACTGATTGAACACTTCAACAATATCTAAAAAAGTTAAATCTGGTCCTCTGGACATTCAAAAAAACCTAA